TCTCTCTCTCTCTCTCTCTCTCTCTCTCCTTCATGAAAACGGGCATACGCCATGCAGTGTGCTATGATAGGACAGCGGCGCTATATATGGCAACTCTTGTATCGAATTCCAACTACCAAGGGGTCTTTTAAGGGCACGCTAATGTGTACACAGGGCCTCGTTTTTTCGTCCCATATGAACGATTAGACAGTTGTCCCTGTCACACACACCCCACCCTCTCTCTCTCGCGCGCTAATGAAAACGGGCATATGGCATGCAGTGTACTAAAATGGAGAATTTGCCCGGACAGCGGGTCTATATATGGCCTACTGTTGTATCGAATTCCAACAACCAAGGGATCTTTTACGTGCACGCTAATGCGTACACGGGGCCTCGTTTTTTCGTCCCATCTGAACGATTAGACAGTTCTCCCTGTCAGACCCTCCGCACTACATGACTGACAAAGGGAAAGAAAAACGATCAAAGCCGGGTGGTACGAATTCCAGATATCATATTAAGCACCACTAAAAAGCATGTTCATTTCTCTTTTCAAATATTTAAATAATTTTCTGGCACATTTATATTTACATACTATACTAATGAAGACGGGCATACGCCATACAGTGCACTATGAGGGAAATTTTGCCCTGCTGCCAAGAGATTTTTTTCGTGCACGCCAATGTTTACACGGAACCTTGGTAATTTGTCCCATCCGAACGACTAGACAGCTGTCCTTGTCAGGCCCTCTTTCCTGCACCACTGACAAGGTGAAACCACGTCGGAAAATTCCAATGAACTTTCTCAGCCAATACAGGGATCGAACACGCGACCTCCAGTTGGAATTCGATATAAGAGTAGGCCGTAGTGCCGCTGTCCGGGCAAATTTCCCTCAAAGCACACTGTATTAACTGTTTCAATGGCATTTTGTAATTGAACTAGAGTATACAGGTCACAATTCTATGGAATACAATTACTGAGCGACGTTTCATTAGCCCAGTTCGGAGCAGAACAGTAGGACGTAACCCCATTTCATTTCATTTCATTTTGGTGACTTATCACATGCCTAGTCCGGACTTTTTTCCGTATGCCAATGAGCTTTCGTCGTAGATCCCATATAAGGTATATGTTCTAATATGCTAAATTCTATTATGGATTTGTCTATTATGCAAAATGCAGAAGGGAGAAGTGTAATGTGCAAAATAACTATTATACTGTAGTTTGCATTATTGAAGAGTGTATTCTGTATTTTAACACTGTGAGATTGGTGGAGCAATAGAAATTGCAAATTGTAAAATTAAAATACGTATTTTGAACTGCTGACATTATGCATTTTGCACAGTGAATATTGAAACAATATTGGCAACGTTATCCTTCCATACAAACGTACCACCTCTTTAAATTTACAATTCCTTTGATTTAAATTGTAGTGAAATTATTTCTGAATGTTTCATTCATATTTTATGTGTGGGTAAACTAATTGATGAAAGGAATCACTTTTGATATTAGTGCCAACATTGTCTGTTATTCTTAGAATGTTGTGTGTATTGTATATTTGGTAATTGGTTTGTCTTTTTACGTTTTAATATGTGTGTCAATACCAAATTCTGAAAAATCTATATACGATCTTCAGATCGTTTATTTCATTCGTTATCCCATTTGTTAGCGGTAGGGGATCACGTGGCTAAGTGGGAAAGACGCTGGCTCGCTAGCCTGGAGGTCGGGTGTTCTATCCCTGCATTGGCCTAGAAAGTTCATACAAATTTTCCGGCTTGGTTTCCCCGTGTCAGTTATGCAGGACGGAGGGCCTTACAAGGACAGCTGTCTAGTTATTCGGATGAGACGAAAAACCGAGGTCCCGTGTACACATTGGCGTGCACGTAAAAGATCCCTTTGCAGTTGGAATTCGATATAAGAGTAGGCCGTAGCGCCGCTGCCCGGGCAAAATTTCCCTCATAGCACACTGTGCTGTGGCGTATGCCCGTCTACATTAGCCCAGTTTAGGAGCAGAATAGTGGAACGTTAAACCTCATTTCATTTCAATGTTGTTAGCGGTAGCACATTTAACTGAAAAATACAATTCAAATTGTGACTCTTCCATGATCTGGTCGATGGAAGTCAATATACCAAGTTTCATCATCATTGGATTAACAATGTAGACTCTATCGACTTCACAAGCTTTGTTTGACGTATTTTGGATAAGTCAGTGAATAGTTGACGAATCGCGTCCAAATTAGAACGCGCCTCAGATCTTGAGCGTGTAAGGCACTTCGCCAAGTTTCGTTAAAATCGGATTAAAAATGTAGACCATATAGCCTTCACGAGTGTGGGCGAACTGGTGGGTAACGACAATGGATGAGGTCAGAACAAAAAATTAGTGTTAGTGTTAGAGTTTCTGACAGTAAAAGAGTTAACCTGGGCACCAAGATATAATTTTGGAAAATATCTTAAATTAAAAATTGAAACGCATGGTCATTTTCAATAATTAATTTGTTCCAATTACTTATAAGTAACCCTAGTTTAAAAAACATACATTATGCAAGAGCTAAATCTGCCTATTGCAGGTCTTTCTATAGGCCTGAAATGTTATCTAAATTATTAATTAGATATTAATTAACTTATCCAGACCATAATAAACTCTCGATGTCATCGCTAGCCTGCGATGTTTATTGGGTTAGGTTCCGATTTCCTGTTCGACTTCCATTCATAATTTAATCTTGAAATGGATAATCGAGACTATGTTTTTTATCGTATTGACTTTAGTAATGATGATCGAGGCTAGGCCGTAAATTTGACTGAAATTTTCGGCAAATTCCCTTTACATTATCTAGTTTTTAACTATTATAGTGAGAACTGCGAACTCTTTATCTTATCTCCCATAATGTATCTTTAATGGATAATTTAATATAATTATATGATTTAGGTGAGACAAGCACCTTCAACTTTACATTTTATAATTCATTATTTACCTCAAAACTTAACACTCACTGTTTTGACCCCAACCAAACTTGTAACATTCTCTTAGCTTTTAATTAATCAAAACAAGTGGACCTATCACTGGTGTCACTCTAGCATTTCCTCAGTCTCAGCTCAGGGAGGTTTTCTCATTTTTTTAACATAGGCTTATTGTTAGGGGTTATCACTTTATCGAGGTTAAAAGTAATAATAAAGAGTTATCTAATTTTCACCTAATATCATTATTCAGTATTAAAAGAACTTCAAAATTTATACAAAACACACAGAATCGGAGATTTCTTTAGAAATAGGTCAAGAAATTAAAGCAGAAGCCATGTTTGAAATTTTTTTGAGTAACACTAATGTTGTCTGGAGGCTCTATAATTTTATCCACAGTTGAATGAAAATCAAGCTGTGATTATCCCCCTTTTTGCTGAACACTTTATTTGAAGTCAAAATTAATATTAGAAAAAGAGTTAAATTACGTCATAAATATTTACTACAACTAAGTACAACACTACTACCGAAATTTTACCTTCCAGTATGGTTTATCCTGGCACGGAACAGCGTCTACCGCATTCTGTTTCTCTGAGAATTACTAATATCTCTGAATGCAGCGTACATTGTTTACATAAGACATTACTGCTTCGGACAGAATGCTGCCTTTTAGTCATTGTAATACCCATTTAGACTAAATAGGAAATAATTTTTACCTACAAATACGTCAAACGTCTTTATTTATTTTTTTAATACACCAAAAAAATGTTTTAGAATTTAATTTGTCGGTGGAAAAAAGTTAATATTTGAGACTCATTAAGTCGCATTGATGTCATCCTTATATATGCGTGATTGTAGCGGCCTAGCAAATATTCACTACTGATCAGCGTGCGTCTACCGAGGTACCGTATACACAGCTGGAATTCCCCCATAGCATGATGCCCGTCTTCATTATTCCGGTTAGTGTAGAAACATAGAACACATTTCATTTCATTTCTGACTCGAAGCGTATTCAACTATTATGATCAGTGTTCAAGTTGACAAGTTTGATAAGTTTACTTTTCAACAAAAAAGTTATCCAGACGTTTAAAACTCGGGGATATTAATTTTCTCTAATTTAATATGCAATGCAGGGGAGGCCGTTGCAAGGGCAGCGAGCCAGCAACTAGCTACTGTTATTTTATTGGACATACTGCATCATACTGACCAGCAGTGAATATTTGCGACAGATTGATACTGCATAGGGGACAGAATGAGGAGGAATTTTTTAGCCAAAACAAAATCTATCGCTCTGCTATTTTTTTTTAACAAATAAGGATCAATGAACTTAAAGCGGAAATTGCAAATTTTGAAGTTATTTTTGTAAAATGTATTAAAATAAAGCCTTAAAATATAGATGGTATCCATAAACAGTCCTACCTTGTTAAAGAATAATCCTATAATTCGCTATTGCCAGCTGAGAAATTGGCAAAAATATCATTTTTAACTTCAAATTCCAACGTTGGAAAATGGCTGCCCCATGTTGTCAATAGCAAAACAGGGGAGGTGATTGTGTTGTTATTTCCTGTATCATAGATTTTTAAGGGTGGGAAATAATGCCCATGATCGTATAATAGTGATTTGATAACCTATGGAGCAAAAGACATATAAATGTTTTGACTTTCTTAGAAAATTTGAAATTCTCGCTTTAACATTTTCCACTGATTGTATTTTGATTTTGATTTATGTAAGTATAACGTTTTTAAAGTACATATTATTGATATTATTGATTGATGGGAAAAGCATTTTCTAGTTCCATTAATATAACATAACAAAAATATGTTACGTTTACAAACAATTCTAAACTACCTGTATGGGAAATGTCCTACAGCGTTGACTAACCATAAGTCACATCCAGCTCCACAAAATAATTCCTTATTCCCCTCCCCCCCCCTCCCGCGCCCTACACCACACACCCATTCTTTGTTTTCAGACTGGTCACACCCGAAGCGCACGTCTTCGACCATTCAAACATTTTCACACCACTCGCTCAAAGGTAACTACAAAAATATTTATACTTTATTTATTACATACTCTATTATCATTGCTGTTAAGATTATAAAATAAATGTATGTCCATTTAAAATAAAACATCAGCATTTTTATCAACATTAAAATCCCATGTTTAGTACACAGTAAAGTCATGAGGTAGATCTACATCAGTATATAGGACCTAATATAGCAGACGGGCTGTATTTCAAGCTCCTTAATTCTCCATCCCTTTTATTCCTTCGTCTGATGGACATAGCTAATCATTCCAACCGCTTTCATATTCAAAGGGCTTTGTGGTCGCTATACCCATTACTGAGCATGGCGGTTAGGCTCATGTTCTTATCAAGGAAATTGTTCTTAAACGTTCACCCGCATTCAGAAGTATCAAAAGAAAGAGAGAGAGAGAGAGAAATGGGGTTTAACGTCCACTCGACACAACCTAGGTCATTTCGGGACTAACACATGGTTCAATTTTATTTCAATAATTCTCTTGCGCGTAGGGGTCTTTAGCAGTGGGAGGAAACTGGAGGACCCGGAGAAAACCCACGAGGTTGGACAGAAGTATCAAGAAATCGACATTGCAAAACACACACAAGAGAGCTTCTCAGTGGCAATTGGAAAGGGGCAAATTCTTCCTCCCGCTAAAGTTTGGGTTTTGTTTTTGGGGTTTTTGGGGGTTTTTTTTTTCAAGAATGTATTTATTTAGAAATTATAAGCGGTCTTATTATTTGTATACTCAAAGATATTGATATCCTCACAGGGAGGCTTGTACAGATGTTCATATCCGGTGAACTGATTAGGCGTAAATGTCAACATACATATACCTTTTCAGCAACTGCATTAGCACCATTTGTTATCAGTGGCGGACACAGGATTTCTGGTTAGTGTGGCCTAAAAATGGCCATGTATTATCACTAGACAAATATATAATGCAAAAGAACCATAATGTGCAATAAAGGCCTACATACACAAACAATATCTTCTATATGACAGCGTGCATATTGTAATGGATTGGTCAAACCCGATGGTTTGTCGGGGATGGTTTGCTTGCCATACAACCAACAAAACGTCAGGGGCAATCGGCAGGGCTGTATAATATAATTTATTCTTCTGGTTGAATATCGACGATAAATAATTCGTGTCGGTGCAGGCCTTTAGTGTAATATAACATGCTTGACTATATTAGATAAAACTGCGCTTGTTTGATTCAGTCCTCATTTAACACAGCTATGTTGCGGTAATCTTAATTGTCTGTAGTTATAAGACTCGCGGTGTTGATATGAGTAATGCCAGGTTCTGTATTACACGGAAATATAGGTTGGCAGGCAACGAAAAGTAAGTCCATAAATTGTTTTCGTGCAATGATTAAATGTCCTACTCCTTAATTATCCATAAACTCATAATCTTATTTTTATCAAAGTTAATCATAAGAGCATTCTATAAAGTACTCAACAGTTATAATTCTTGTAGCAATTATCAGAAATAGTTGACTTTTGATAAGCTTCTTCGTCTCACTGTTAAACAATGCATGGGCACTACACCTACTGGTGATTATCAGAAATGAGATTCTTCGCCTCACGAATGCAAATAATGCATGTAAAACTAAAATGTTCGGATAATAAATGCGACCTTGGGGGTATTAACAGAGACTTACAGTAGATTACAAAATCGGACCACATAAATATGTGTGGGTATAAATATAATAATACTACAATAACACCCTCTCACTATACGTTGACAATTGAATGGTTGGTATATTGACAATTTCAAAACTCCTGAAACACAATGCTGCTATTAAGCCGATTTGGTGTCGAAGTAATCAGTCATTGCTCGAATGAACTAAGATTAAGCACTTCCAGAACACGCCCTTTAGTCATTAAGCTTATTTGGTATCGAAGTCCGTGGTCATTGCAGTAATGAACAGAGATTTAACACCTCCAGAACACGTCCTATGGTCAAATTGACGATAAAAATGCCGTTTTTTGTTGCAAATTCTATTTCAGTCTGACCGCCGAAAACTCGCATTTCAGCTTTTATTTGAGTAATGTCCGAGCAGTCACTCGTTAATAAGGATTAATTTCTTCATGGCCGTAATCTTTTAAGTAAAGAAAACTCGATATTGATGGGAATTTTGACACAAGCTAAGTTGTCTGTCATGTTTAGTCTACAGGCGACCACGATGTCGTCTCTTTTTACGAAACAAATGTCGTATTTCCTTTCGAAACGTGTAACTAGTCAAAACAAAACATATGAAATTCACAGAATAGCTAGCTAGTGTCACCAGATCGGCCAATAATAACGGTATGGAGTTGCTGTTGTAGGTATGCCATTGTCCAGGCCGCGGTTTCAAATTACTGACGTTCCAGAAGAAATCTGAATGGGTATTGACAAAATACTGTATCAAATGCACAATAGCGTAGCATAATTCACTCACAGCTAACCACAAAGATATTGCCAAAAATGCTGCGTTGATTGAGAGTTTTTCTGGCACCATCGATGTACTGTAGGCAACACTGTGTGACCTTCTGCGGCGGCGCACTTTACACAATACTGATATATTTATAATTAAAATGGCGAATATTGGCAACATGAAGAGGATTCCCAAAACACACATTCCGTAAATCCATAGTATCCGAGACGGTATGTTTGAGCGATGGGCGCACATGTTGTGTTCATCCACATGCCAAATATACCCCTCCATGAAACTACAGACGACCGACAAAGCAGCCATAAAGACGATCGTTCGTCGGGTTCTACACACTGTCAGAAGTTTATCGCCACCTAACGGGTGACAAATTTCTATGTATCGTTCTGTAGACAGACCTAGAACTAAAAGAATAGCAAAACACTGAACAGCTAGGAATAACAAATGGACAACTTGACACAGACCTTGTATGTTCAGTTGATGAATGTTCTCCAAAGCATGAGTTAATAACACCAAGGTATCCGCCACACTTATTGCAATAAAATATTTCACGGGCGAGGATTTCACCCGGGCCCGACTCCACACGATCACAGCAAAAATATTACCAAAAAGACCGATGACGTAAACGATCTTGTATACATAGGTGGTGATGACGTATTCTATAGTGTCATAATTTGTATCATAATAATCCGAAGAATTGAGCTGCAGACTTGAATTTTCCTCCATCTTTTCAAGGCTGCTACCTACAAAACACAAAAACAAGAGAGATAAGTCTAATGTATACCATGGGATATACACTTACGTCAAAATGATGGACGGCTTTCTGAAACAAAAGGTTAGGCCCCTGACACCAAACGTCAGAATGACCAAGAGGTGTTACGCCTGGGGGTAATTGGTTGTGTATACACGAAATGTTAAACAATAAGTTTACAAAAATACACCCAAACCCGACTGATATAAATGAAAAACATTCTTCAGAACTAAACTATTTACTTTGGGCTATATATCAATCCACCACACAGGGAATTAAATCTCGGAAATTTCACACGCATCAATTGCATATAACTTACGGCGGATGCTTCAAGAGTTTTGACTTTTCGTTCTAAAATCTGACAAATCAGATCAACTAAGTGGCCGACACACCGTGTTCAGCCAGTGCAAAGTTGTATGTAGTGGAGACTGTTTAATTAAAATTATATTAAACATACAAAAGTTAAAAGGAAGGATCCTATTTCAAAATTAAATGAAATTAAACCGCTAGATATAGTTCAGATTTCAATATTGATATGACATTTAATTATGTGTGTACTTCAAGTTACGATATCTCTATATGATATGATTGACGTAAACCGAAATATGTCTAAAATTACAGTAGAAGCGCGGTGATTCGTGTTCTTGCAACCGCTGCTCCCAAGCCTAGAAGGCTAAATACGGATTGAACCTTTATTACGAAAGATTTCCTGTGACGTGTGCAAAGGGACACAGATGTTTATAAATATTGGTTGTTTAGCTTACCATTACTTATATCGAATAAATAGAAAAATGCAATTTCGTTTACATGTGTTAAATTGAAATTTCATCGATCTATGCTGCTCGCTATTGTGGACGAACAAAACAGACGCATCTTTACTGTAAAGGGATAAAACGTACTGCTAGAATCGGTTAATAGCCTAGATAGATACCTTAAATTTCCATCACCTTGCTTTATGTTCCTAAAACAGGGGAGTCAAACTCATTTCGATTCAGGGGCCACGTGAACTAAAATTTTACATCAAGTGGGCCGGAGATGTACAAAAATTTTAAGATAAAGCCAAGCGCCCTTAACCTTTACTGAATTCTAAAAACACTCGACACAAACTAGGTCATTTCGGGACTAACACATGTTTCAATTTTATTTCAATAATTTACTTGCGCGCGTGGCGGTCTTTAGCAGTGGAGGGGGGGGGGCGGAGGATCCGGAGAAAACCCCCGAGGTTGGACAGGCGACCCTTCTTTCTGGTCACGTACAACCGGGGAATCGAAACCATGCCAGTTGACTCAATGACAGACCTTATGATACAACGCACACTCGCTAACCATTCGGCCATCCAACCCCGCTACATGGCCAAGATATAATATCTATGACATACAGTACAGAAGTCAGAGTTTTACTTAAACCGGAAAAAAAAATCATTAATGATTTCCAACACTAGTTTCTAAGAATTATCGATACGTCAGTTTGTTGAAATTTGTTCCACAGGCCACATTTAAACCCTTTGGCGGGCCGTATCTGGCCCGCGGGACTCCTGTTTAACACCCCGATTTAAGATTATATCCCCAGTCAATACCCAGGTTTTAGGGTTTGTTTTGGGAGTGATACTTTTACGACTGCTTGGATTGTTATATGAACACACGGTGGTTGGATCCATCAATTACAAAGTACCCTTCAGAAAACAGAAGATTTGGATATGTTTGTGTGCTTTTAATTATTGATAGAAGAGAATGATGTTCCAGTAAACCAAGTCAAAATTAAACATCAGTTCGATGGAAACTTTGTGTATACGAACCATTTTATCCTATTTCATTCTGCCATGCTTTTTGTCATTCTTTAGGCGTCTTCAGATGTTTTATAAATTACATAGCATTGATTTAGCTTCAATGTTGTGTACAGATAGGGTATTGGTATTATGCCGGGATTGCAATAAAAACCATTCTCTGAAACTGATCAACTATCCCTCTATATAATTCCTTGGTCGGTAATCCTCTGTCAATGGCATGTTCAGAAGGAATGCACTCGATTTTTTAGGTCGAATTTATCGTAGTCGGAGAAATGTATTAATTCAGAAAATCAGATACACATATTATATTTAGAATAACTATAGGGTTGTTTTTTTTTCTACAAAATGAAGCTAAATATACATCAAACACCAAATTATAGCTTATGGGATTGAGAGTAATTACCACAAGACACGACTTGAAAAGAGTTCTAATGCCAGACATTAAATCGCCATTAGATATTATGATGGATCTTATAATAGGATGCACGATATAACCACACATCAATTCATGAAGACATTAAACATGTTGGCTCTGTTTTTAGATTCCGTTTTAACTTTTAATCTCACATTTAGCCAACGTAAGACGAGTCCGTTTTTGTGGCACACGCAACAGAAAACCTATTTTCTTCTATTTGCACGCCATTAAAATAATACTAACCATTTTTGACATCCCTTCGTCTGGTAATTATTGTAAACGAATATACAACAATCATATAAGCTACTTTCAATGAAATAGATACACCCCCAAGGGAAGCACATTTATAAGTGTAAAATGAAAAGAAGTTTATTAATGGCTGACGATGAATTAAAGTTGGTGATTAGTACACGTGTTATGTAACAAGGTGAGATCTTGTCTGGAGTGATATAAATGTTCGACGCCGACGACAATAAAGACAATGTCGTCATTATGGTGATGAATATACGAACCTATTATCTCGTACGCGGTTAAAATAATAAGTTAGCTTACATCAATGCAGAGCAGAACAGAAGGACGTTAAACCCCATTTCATTTACATCAATGCAGTTGTAAACTAAGTTGAGTAACGCCTATAGCGTTTGTGGGTTTGTTTTAAAGCAAACTACTGACATTAGCCCCTAATTGTTCTGATTCTGCAACGACTTCAAAGTGACAAATATCCATCAGACTCATTCAATTTAACCGATGATCAATAACTAGACATCTTTATAAATATATAAAATGAATATAAATCTTGATGTATAATCAATACAGCTTGTAGTATTGTTTATTCATTTCTGCAAGTCATCTGAATTAAGAAAATATTTAGGAACACTTACACTTTATTAAACACTCTAAAACAAATTTACACTTGATGTTTAAAGAAAAATAGCTTAAAAATACACGATATTATTTTGGAAGGCTTCATTTCTTTAAATGGAAAAACATTAAAATATGATAAGGAATTAATACACGAAATATAACTTACATTAAAATGACAGTTATACTTCATACACTAACGAGTTTAATGTCAGTGATACTTCAGGTACTAATGCGTTTAATGCCAGTTATATTCGTGTACTAATGAGTTTAATGCCAGTTATACTCGATGTATTAATGAGTTTAATATATATTGCCAATTATACTTCATGTACTCATGAGTTTTATGCCAGCTATACTTCATGTACTAATGAGTTTAATGCCAGTTATAATTCATGTACTAATGTGTTTAAGAGATAAATATTACCCTAACCGAGGGTTGATATGTGAAATAACCCAGGGCCGGAGGCCGTGGGTTATTTCAAATATAGACCGAGAGTTTTGGGGTAATACTTGTCTTACACCCTGACATCAATGTTGAATCTATCCTAATTGATTTCACCTATAAGAGCAATGTTGTCAAACAATTCGGACGACAAACTGATCCAAGCAAGTCAGTATAAGTTTGTAGAAAATATGGTTGAAAAAGAAAACGTAGATTCTGACAAAGAATTATTTAAAGCTAGTCAAAGTGCAGAATTTATGCAGAAAATATTTTACAAGGATTTAATGTACTCGGATTGTGAGGAAGTTACAAATGATAAGTTACAAGTGACAAGACGTCACGGAATGTGCCAACAATACTGTGCCGTGCCCATAAATATACTTACGCAGAAATCAGTGGGCTGTGAACGTTTTTAACAGTTGGTCAGTGTGGCGATAATAAAACGATAGTGAGCGAAAAATCCTGTGTGCGCTGGAAGATATGAGGATATAAGATCTTATTTTTTGGATGTCTAGATTCGTCTCGGAAGTAAGCAAAATAAAATGATGAATATTGCTCACCGAATTCCGTATTTAGTTATGGGAATTTACGAATTAGGAATAAAACTGATATGGATATACTACACAATCTAGAGTTTGAGTTTCAGACAAGTTCTTGATGGTCAGATGAAAAAGCTAAGTAACGAACTTTCTAGAATCGTCATTTGGAAAACTCGAGAAACCATGGAAACTTCTGGAAACTGCTTAGAAATAATTGGAAGGTTCTGGGGAGTTCTAAAACAATTTTAGAAAGTTCCAGAATTCCCTAAAACTATATAAGCCTGACCAGATCAGTCCGAGGGAAGAGCTTTTTCGACAGAACTTTCTTAGCAATTCGTACAGAACTTTCTATTTGACTCACGTGCTCTGGATTTAATGGCATTTCGTGCTGTTGCACTTATTGTGCTGTTTTGAGAAAAATTATCTCTCTGTTTTACAGTGTGCTGTTTTGAGAGACTTGATCTCTCTGTTGTAATCCAAGTTTAGGATTACTGTTGTGGATGATTACCACGTCGGATTATACCGATTCAAGGATTATTTATCCTGTCAGTTTTGGATCATCAAGGAGACTCTGTGTAATTCTGCCAACTTTTGAATTACTAGGGCAACGCTGAGAAGACATATTAGGACTGTTTACAAAATACTACTTCAAAGCAGTAGATGCACAGAGAGCAAATAAGATTTCAACCGAATACTGGTAAAATTAGACTGAATACTGCGAGTAACCTGTGCATTGATTCTGATCAACGCTGTTATACTCGTACTTATACTTATTTGTACCAGTATCATTTTACCATTTGTAAATATTATTAAATCGGTTGATTTGTAGATTTGTCTGGTCGAGCTATTAGGTGGATCGTGAATCTCTAAACTGCAATCGATACTCGGAGGTTGTAACACATGATCACCGATTTATCACCTTGCTTCAATTGTATTTTCAGTGTTTTTCTGAAGAACTCTACAAAGGAGTTTTTACCAACCCCCCAGTTTATTTCTTATGAAACCTATTATATACGACTGAGAATTGATTTTTCATGTTAGCTCCAGGATGTTTTAATTTTCTTAATAAAACACTCTGACAGAGCGCTTTTTAACAAGCAACCAGTATATCTTTCTTATTTAATATTATTTAATAAAACATCTATTTCTTTTTTACTTATTATTATTAGATCTACATAAGTCTTTCCGAACATTTAGCATTAGATACACCTCCAAAGCAAGATTTGTTATAGATATGTATATTCTATACATCATATATCCAAAATTTAAATAATTTCATGAAAAAAAATGACAAAATTATGGATAACTGACAAAAATAAGCTCTTTTGGTTCGTGTCGGTGATTGGTAGGCCCGTAATTTCAAATGATAATTTTAGCCTTCAAAGCGTTCCAAAGGGTTTTGTAAGTCATTAAGAGCAATAACTCAATAAAAAATCAATACAATTCCTTCTTTCACGTCGATAAACGCTGTGTATAAATCCCAAAAGTCGATCAGATGATCGATTTATCCAGCATCTGCACATTGTATAAAAAACAAATGTGGGAGCATGATCAATCAACTGTCGGCTGTTATAAACTTAGTTACATATGAAAACAGTAAACAAGATAAGATGCATAATTGATGATTTTCCACTGTAGTGGCCGAGGAAACGTGTTAAACGCAATACCTGTTAATGCGCGTTACCATTATAATTTTACCATATTTTTTTCAAAGCAGTATTTGTTTTTGTATATTTATACATATTTTCTCAGATAATTTTTCTGTAAATATGACTTTCGATTATTAATTAATACGCATCTAGACACGCATGTGATTCTTTATAATACTAATATAATAAGAAGAATCTTTCGTATAACTGATGACTGGTATATTGGGTGTTCTGTGAATAGTGTATGGCACCCGCCCTGTACATTATAGTGTATGACACCGCCCTGTATTACGCCCATCCTGTACATGGTGTCACAACTTACCAGTGAAATACCAATTTGTTTCAGAGAATTACGAGTCTTCTCTAAAATCTGGGAGCCACTAGCCTGGAGGTCGGGTGTTCGATCCCTGCATTGGCCGAGAAAGTTCATCCTGATTTTCCGACGTGGTTCCTCTTGTCAGTGGTGCAGAACGGAGGGCCTGACAAGGACAGATGTCTAGTCCTTCGGATGAGACGAAAAACCGAGGTCCCGTGTATACATTAGAATGCACGTAAAAGATCCCTTGGCAGTTGAATTCGATATCATATATCTGCCCGGGGAAAATTTCCCTCATAGCACACTGTATGGCGTATGCCCGTCTTCATTAGCCCAGTATAGGAGCAGAACAGTAGGACGTTAAACCCCATTTCATTTCATTCATTTCTCTTAAATCTCTGTAAAAGATGACTGCCTTGTCACAGCACGTGGCGTCAATCATTGGCTGAGTGGCGCGTGCATTGTTTACATAAGACGTTACCGCTTCGGGCAGAATGCTGCCTTTTAGTCATTTTAATACCCATTTACACTAAATAGGAAATAATTTTTATCTACAAATACGTCAAATGCCTTTCTTTATTTTTCTAATACATCAAAAAAATGTTTTAGAATTTAATTTGTCGGTGGAAAAAAGTTAATATTTAAGACTCATTAAGTCGCATTGATGCCATCCTTATCAGTGATTGTAGAGGCCTAGCGAATATTCACTGCTGACCAGTGTGGTGAAATGCTTTGCGAAGGACAATTTTCCAGGTTATTTGACAGAAAACGGTTGTCGTTCTGGAGGCAGGGTATGATAGCTAACAAACTATGGTCCCAGGGTTATTTTCTATCCAGTATAGTTTCGGCTTGTGAAATGTAAATCCAAATATTGCTTCGTTCAGCCAGAAGTAGTGACTTGTTGTGTACAAAACAGTATACATGTATTATGATTAATCTTTCTAGAACACCTGGTACCACGTCTCGTTTAATACAAGTCCATATTTTTTCCGATAACCCTACCTAGAACAAAGGTTATTTGGTATTATATGGTTAGAAAGGTAATTTTATCGATATTATAAAATCGGTTCTTGGGCGATTTTCAAAATGGGATATAATAGTTATTTCTCGTGGTTTCCATGGCAGAGGTAAAAATCATAGATATCGACTGTATACGTAAAATCCAACTATTATACGATTAGGAAGTCAGCACACACAATATCATTTTTGGACCCGGAATTGCCTCAACAGCGCTACCAGTCGTGTTCTTGTTGTTCTTGGAGCGTCGCTTTTCGAAAAAAGCCTAAGGCTGCGTCACGTCATGTATGATTGATATAAAACTTGGCATGATGGGTCTTTGGAAAATTATGCCTCGATTGAAAGACTTCGAGTTTAGATATGACGGTACAATTCCAAGATGACGTCATACTGTTTCTGGCCCATAGTACGCAACTACTTGTTATATTATATGGTTGCACAAATACAAGGGAACGTGGGCATAATTTGTAATCGCGTGTGTTGTATCTCTTTCTTCTGTGATTGAATTTATTACGTAATTTTCTCTACGGATTAAAGTTTTTTTGTTTTTTAAGTAACGGTGCGTGATTTGCATTTTTCGGAAAATATAAACGCTAATGTGGGCTAAAATTGATTGATCAACTCTATGTTTAGAAATCAAAATGTCAACACTAGCCAATCTCCCGGTTTGTATTTAATCGGAATAAAAACAGAACCATCAATTGTTTTCGCGAACACATTAAGTTGGCGGCGGACGTCACCTGACAACAAACAAACTTGTAATTCGCGATCAGCCTACTGTAGAGGGTGGAAAGTTCAACTTTCAAGAAATATGAATCTATACTTGCGCAGATTGTAATTTTAACAGGCAGTGACGCAAAAGAGTTGTCCTTACTGGGCTTAAGTACACTGATAACACACAGCCGATGTTCACCTCACTGATAATCCTGAGAAAGTTCATCCAGATTTTCCGGCGTGGTTTCCCCTTGTCAGTGATGCAGGACGGAGGGCCTGACAAGGACAGCTGTCTAGTCGTTCGAATGGGACGAAAAACCGAGGCCCCGTGTACATATTGGCGTGCACGTAAAAGATCTCTTGGCAGTTGGAATTCGATATTAAGAGTAGGCCGTAGCGCCGCTGCCCGGGCTTAATTTCCCTCATAGCACACTGTATGGCGTATGCCCGTCTTCATTAGCCCATATTTGGAGCAGAACAGTAGGACGTTAAACCCCATTTCATTTCATTACTGATAATCCTGATGAAGACGAAGAGCTGTTATACGAGACTATGTGAGGATATCTATATGAAAAGAACTATTCTTAAAAAGAATTGACTGTCGTGAGATGAGAGAAAGCGATAAAAATAGAAAATCTCCGTACATTACCCTGTTCTTATTAATTCTCTAGTTATATTTTAAGAGATAACTATAGCTAAATCCGGTAGCCTTAAAGACATGCTATATTGTTTCTTAAGGGTTACGTATGTCTCTATCACTCATGTAACATTGTCCTTTAACACAATGCAAAGATTTCGTTCCACTTGGAGACTTTTGTGCTGCTTACCAACATACCAAGTTTGGATACAAGCTAATATATTCCAGTCGCATATTATCTCCAGATGCACCGTGGAATGGGGTTTAACGTATTACTTTTCTGCTCCGACTGGGATAATGAAGTTGGGCATACGCCATACAGTGTGCTATGAGGGACATTTTTCCGGACGCCTACTCTTACATCGAATTACAACTGTCAAGGGATCATTTACGTGCACGCCAATATGTACACGGGACCTCAGTTTTTCGTCCCATTTGCCACGCGGGAAAATCCCGAAGAACTTTCCCAGCCAACACCGGGCTCGAACACAGGACCTCCAGGTTTGCGAACCAATGTCTTACTCACCGAGCCACCGACAAAGGAAGAGACACGTCGGAAAACCCCGATTAACTTAATCGGCCAACGCAGGGTTCGAACTCGGGAATTCTAGGTTAGCGAGCCAACGTCTTACTCACTGAGCCACCATGGTCCCTTTCATGCGATGAAGTTAGACACTTCCTATATACAGTAAGATATAGAAGATCCGGCACATTATATTCCTGAAGGCTTGCTACCCGTTACTTCCGACAGAGCTGCTATGATAGATTCGGCCACTAACAACATCGATCAAATTCAAAAGAATCTTAATGGCAAAATACTACACGTAACATCTTGGCTATCGTTCTTTCTCGACACATTGGCCTGACCACCTCTAAAAGTAATATACCAAGATGTTCGAGCAAAACCAGCGGGAATTAATATGTATTAATATTTGGAGAGATACGAAAACCGCTTGAAAGCCCAGAACCGCCTATCGACAATCGTTTCAGAAACCTCGGGTGGGGATATCTCGCCATTTAAGCCCCTTTTGAATAACAAATAACAAACTTTTATATTTGATATCATGTGTATCCTAATTTGTAACTTACCTCTGGCATATAACTTGTAATATCTTTATGGCTTCATAGTCCGTTATATAGTGTTGACTGACCATTAAATACAATTATCTGAAAAACACCAGAAATGTGGTTGTAATAAATAACCCATAAATCCAATTATTCTGTACGACATTTTTTTTAGTGATAGTTGTTGATATGGCCGTGGGTGTTATCTAATTATTTGATGTCAGTGATCTTTTATTTCATACTAAGATGGAGAAAAATGGATATATACCGATGTCTGTTTTGTATCATCTGGGTCTGTAGCCAACTTGTCGGTCTACCAAACTTTCAGACAAGTATTACAGTTTGTTGTCTCTGTGAACCCAGACTGTCACTGAGAGTTAGCCTGTAGATTAAGTTGTTGTCTTCGCTTTCCTTCCATAGAAAGTCGATAACTAATTTCATGCAATTCCTCACGTAGTAAAGATCATAAACGACATTGTATAGCTGGCATCCTCGTGGATGATTTACTGATTTGCCCGAAAGTTGATTTCAGCACTTGAGGATTTTCTAGTCTAAATATTTTAACGATAATTGTATATATTCTTAAAGATACATTATGGGAGATTCGATAACGAGTTGGCAGTTCTCACTATAATAGTTAAAAACTAGATACCGTAAAGGCAATTTGCTGAAAAGTTCATTCAAATTGATCCTAGCCTCGGTCATCATTACTAAAGTCAGTACGATAAACAGCATAGTCTCGATTATCTATTTAATCGTTTAATCGAGAAGGAAAGTTATGCAGTAAATCGGCTCACAATCCACTTAAGATCGCGGGCTAGCGATGCCATCTAGAGTTGATTATGGTCTGGATAAGTTAATTAATGTCTTATTAATAATTTCGATAACATTTCAGGCCTAAAGAAAGACCTGCAATAGACAGATTTAGCTCTTGCATAGTGTATGTTTAAGTCGTATTAAAATAATGGCATCTATAGACAGTCCTACGTTGCTAAAGAATAATCCTATTAATCCTATAATTCACTAGATACGAAACTGACAAATATACTTCAAACCGAAACGTTGACGTTTTAAAAGTGTCGGGGGGGGGGGGGGGAGTTCGGCACCATCCAAACAAGGGAGGTAAATTTGCTTCGGTTTACCAAATTACCCATATCTATTTAACCACAGACCTGGGGAATCGAGCCACCCCCCCCCCCCATTTTCCGTTATATAGACTTAGTTTTCCAGTGTAAACTGATACAATACTGAGTATTGTGGACGAGTAAAATTTATTTCAAATTTTTAAGTGAAAGTGCTAGAATGATTCCTATGATTGTATAATAGTCATTTGACAACATACTAAGCAATAGACATAGAAATAATTATGTTTTCACTTTCTCAGCAAATATGAAATTATCGCTTTAATTGGGAAAAACACATCTTTTTCGAATGATATCCAAGAAGAAATTGTCCAGTGTAAATTGATACAATACTAAGTACTGTGGCCGAGTAAAAATGATTTCAAATTTTCATGTAAAAGTGTTAGAATGATTCGTATGATTGTATAATAGTCATTCGACAACCTACTTAGTAATATAAATAGTTATGTTTTCACTTTCTTAGAAAATATGAAATGATTTCAAATTGTCATGTAAAAGTGCTAGAATGATTCGTATGATTGTATAATAGTCATTCGACAACCTACTTAGCAATATAAATAGTTATGTTTTTACTTTCTTAGAAAATATGAAATTATCGCTTTGATGGGAAAAAACACTCTTTTTCGAATGATATCCAAGAATAAATTGAAAGAAGTCAGTAATTACCAAAACAATCCCCCTTTGAAAGACGCCATACATAATAACTTATGTCAAACATTTTCGAGTACACCCCAAGAATAAATCAACTATTAAGTGGGTTGTTACGTTTTGTCGGAAATAGAAATGTCTAACAGTTAATTTACATGTATAAAATATTTACAATACAAGGTAGGGTTGAAATAGACAAGGATAATAACTCTATAGAGTTTCTCCCTGGGACTAAACAAAGAATCGCAGCAATACAGGAATCCCCGACCTGTAGAGTGCTTACAAAGATGGTGAACAGATACAATGTGTCATCATATTCCCATTGCCCTAATGACAATATTGTCCCCTCCTTCCCCACTGCCCTTCCCTTGTTCAAACCAAATCCAGAGGTACTATAAACCAACCGAGCTCAATGTACATACATTCACCATCGATCAGCCTCAGTGTGACCGGAAACCAGTTAACGCTTCTGGTTATCGACTGATGGCTGCTATCCAATTTTTATGTTTGACTTCGGTTTCGATTTTATAAACTGTGCAGTTTGAAACCATTTATGATCTCAATTCCGATTTCAGAACCGTAATAAAAATGTCAGGAGCGGACTGGGTAGCTCTGAGTCCTCGGACCAATTGGTTTTGTTGGGGTCACATCGCGGTGAAGAATACGTGGCATGACGAGAAAAAGAAACTAGTTTGATTCACTATTTCTGTACCTCACCCACTGATTATTTTTTCTCCCTGGGAAGCCATTATAAATTTCAATAGAAACAAAGATGAATTTAGTTATTTTGGAAAAAAATGTATGTCAAATTATGTTTTTCCAATCGGACCCTTCTGCCAAATAAACCATTTTGACATACAAATCGAATTTGTGTGTGTGACGGACAATGACCAGAATATGTCAGTTTTTCACTGTTGATGCAAGGGCTCCATGCAAGCCCAATCCAGCCCTAATTTCCACGGATGGCTTCCAGATTAGACTTCACAGCCGGAATAATATTTCCATAATATTCAGAATTAAATAAATATGTCTTGGTTTTATTTATTTTGCTAAATGAATTTAGGAAAATGAAAATAAAAAATCAAGACCAATACGATAACCGTCACCACGAACCCTACATTATTCTGTCACCAGTAACTTTCTTGACCTGTCTTAAAGTAAACTTTTTACACTGGTGCTACGGTCGGTGTCTAAAACTTAAGTGTCATATAAAACTTGGCAGGTACCCTTTGTTAGGAATACCAGTCCCTTTTGATGCTTGTTTTTCTACATTCGTAGGTCGTTTAGTTCTTGATTGCTAACTATGTTCCTGTTCAGATCTTCAGGACTTAATCATAATCCCCCCACAAAACCTAACCTTTCCAGGCGCTGCCCCCACCCCCTCCAAAGTACCCTAACTTTATTTTGCCTAGAGCCTACCCTCCTCAGGAGTTCCTAGCATACATCTGCTTTGCAGATTTTTTTTCCTTTTTTTTCCGACAAATGAGCCGTTGGCAACTGGTTATAAACTTACTTATAGAGATGATAAATTAAAACTTCAATCACCACTGGTTTATTTATCGAGAAGTTGAGAGCATTCACCTCATATTGTTATCATTATAATAATTAACGGCTTTCAACACTATCGTCAAAACAGACGGAAACGGATTTTGTATGAGACATCATAGTGTGCAGATGAGTAGTTATTTTAAAAGATACAATCTTAGTTTATTTCAAAGTTATAACTTAAATAAATTAAGCTTACATCGGTTTGGTTGTATGTTTTTTTAGAGATGAAAAAAGCGGTTGCAATGCAAGATACGCCCGCATTTTGCAAGAGATGGACAGAGAACAAGCTAAAAAAAAGGACGATTTTTTTACAATCAGGGGCCATAATCCAGGAAGTTATGGTCCAATATGCACGAATATCGAAAGGAACCTCTTCTAGAGAGACCACAACCTTGGTATTACATACTTTTACACTATTTGCATACAAGTAGCAGTCGTTTTGGCCGACAGTTTCGGTCCGATTTTCACGAAATTCGAACACAACCATCATTAGGGTGTAACGGTGATATGTGTAAACGTTTTATTTATTTTTTTCTTAAATCGGATAAAAATTGTGACCTCTAGATGGTCCACAAGCTAAAAAAAAAAAATTATTTGTCGGACAATCAGGAGCCATAATCCAGGAATTCCAACAGGAACCGAGATCTATAAGTTATAAACATATATTTCAAGTTTCATCAAAATCAGATAAAAATTGTGACTTCTAGAGGGTCCACGACCTTGGTATTACATACATTTACACTATTTGCGTAGCAGCCATTTTGTCCGACAATTTCGGTCAGATTTTCCCGAAATTTGAACTCAACCGTCATTATGGTGTAACGGTTATATCTTCGAACGTTTTTTTAAATCGGATAAAAATTGTGATATCTAGAGGGACCACAAGCCTATAATGAGATTTTTCGTACAATCAAGGGCCATAAACCAGGAAGTTACGTTACGATATGCGCGATTATCGAAAAGAACCGAGATCTTTGTGATATAAACATAAATTTAAAGTTTAATCACTAAACTATTTTCGTACGAGGAACGGCCATTTTGTCCGGCAGTTTCGGTCCGACTTTCACGAAATTTGAACTCAACCGTCAGTATGGTGTAACGGTTATATCTTCGAACGTTTTTTTATAAATCTAGAAGGACCAAACGCCAAAAACGCGATTTTTCGTACAATCAGGGGCCATAATCCAGGAAGTTATGATCCGATATGTGCGAATATTTAAAGGAACCAAAAACACACATTTCAAGTTTCATCAAAATCAGATAAAAATTGTGACTTCTATACAGTGTCCACAAGCTAAAAACGTGATATTTGTTACATTAAGGGGCCATAATCTATGACGTTACGGTTCGATACATGCCACTATCGGAGGGAACCGAGACCTTTGGGAGATAAACCTATATTTCAAGTTTCGTCAAAATCGGATAAAAATTGTGACCTGTACAGGGACGAGGACGGGCAAATGAACACGAACTTACGCCATGCACGGGACCTCGGCAATTCCCCCCATCCGATTCGCCCTGTACAGTTAGCCGGGCAAATGAACACGAACTTACGCCATGCAGGGGACCTCGACAATTTCACCCATCCGATTCGCCCTGTACAGTTAGTGGGGGGGGGGGGGGGTCAGCGAGCCACTCACCGAGATACCTTGACTACCGAATTGTCTTTACATTAAATATGTTAGGTTTACTATTTCTCTTACTTCATTGGTATATTATTCAAAGTTGATGGACTGTTTTACAAAATGGTATGTGCTAGAAGCGTAAAATTCTCTTCGGATATGACAGACTTAGGATGATTCTTTACCATACCGAAAGATAAAAATACATAATATATCGCCATCAAGTATACTTACAAAGTTAGCCAGCCTATCTAGTGACTCGTTGATCAATGTAAAAATGTCGTTATATTTATGGGTAAGTCAAAGAACAGAATAAAAGTAAATGTTAAAACTTAAATTGACATGTGAAATGCATAAAGGAGTGAACAACATAATAATAGCGCAGTTAGCCAAGTTTGGCCTAGTTGGCTTGCAAAGGGATGGCATATTAACGACTTATTGGCTGGTTAACCTTAATGTGGCTGATTTAGGAAACATAAATTATGGCGGACATTCACACTATTCACTATAAGATAGTGTTGTTCTGGCGGATGGATCTGCAGAGCCCGTTACAATGACATCTCTAAGTACCAATATAAAGGCGACAACAAGCACTCACTCTGACATTTATATCATATAAATAATAGAACTTGTTGTATCTTCCGTCATTTTTATGACCTGAAGCCATGTAAATTGATATCCTTGTGGATGCTCTCTACATATTTCTATATAATCAATATTTAAATATACAATGCAAGACCGAAGAAGTTTGCCGAGGGAGCGGTTATTTCGCCTACTCTCCTTCCAATTCCGCCCAGTACATTAGATATATGACTAGACACAATTATCTAAATAGTCTCGCCCGCTGACGTTAACCAAGACAGGTGAGATCCACGATTGATGAACAAAATGAGATAACCTTTTCTTTTTCATCACTTCATTTACAACATTAGAACCTTCTTATGTGATAACACTGAAGAGGTCTGTTTATTTAATAAAATGTTTTTATTTTGTCTTCATATATATTTTCGTATGCTTTTATGAAATTAACTGTTATCGAGGCAGTCTAAGTACGTTTCTTTATAGTTATCTTTTATAAACGAGTTAACTTGTATCAGTATATATGCACTTGAAATGAAATGGGTTAAATATGCATTTGAATCTTCAAACAACCACATTTGCACTCAGGTGTGACCCCAGAATTTAAATTAATCAGACAACCCCAAAAGCATCTGGTCATTTGCTAAATGAAAGGTCAATTGACCACAAACTTCTTAAACATGTTGCTAGACCATACTCTATTGTAAATAAAAACAACAAAAGTAACAACAAGCATGAGCGAAAGTAAGGTCTAATTATTTAGAAAATGCGTTTTCAGCATTTATCAAAAATTCAACTCACATTCTATTGTAAAATTTGAAAATATACATATTTGACATTAGTTTGCAAATATTGCATCTAAGTACTAGCACCCTTACATCACGTTCCGATTCTATACCTTCATAATCGTATAATTTTAGTAAAATTCACATTTATATCAATCACAACAACATATTTTAAACAAATTATCAAATAGCACATCAATATGGGATGATTATATACATGTGTTACACACTCATAATTCTAATCTAATATCACATGATTTGTGGGTTTAAAGGAGCGGATCATCCATACAAGTAGCTTTTACAAACAGAATTTGATGGGAATGGAGTGTAACGCGTTGGCCCCCTTTTTGAGCTGATTATCAGCTCCACGTTGTAACAGCAAATTGAAACCAGGGCTATAAATTCTTTTACCCCGACCACTAAACGCCTCTGCTCTGCCTACCACTCGTACAGAGGACAACCAGAAGGCCAATGTGCAAATTTCTGGTGGTGTCAATTCAATTCGGAAATGTATAATATTACTGATCACCAATACTTGATATATTAAACGCATGACTTCCTTGACGTTCTACTTTTCTGCACTGAAAATGAAGAAGGGCCAAAGTTATGCAGTGTACTATGAGGGAAAATTTTATCGAGATCCGACTGTCAAGGGTTCTTTTACGTACACGTCAGTGTGTACAAGGGACCTCGGCTTTTCGTTCCATCCCAACGACTATACGCTGTCTCCTGCCAGGCCCTCCGTCCTACACCACTGACAATCACGATGAACTTTCTCGGCGAACATAGGGATAGAACACGAGACCTCCAGATTAGCGAGCCAACTTCTTACTCACTGAGCCACTGCAACTGCTGCTCGGTCTTCGGAAACACGTTTACAATACATTATTATCATGACCGAAATATTGTGCAAAGTTGGATAAACATTCACAGAAATTTCGAGAGTTGCAGGAGACCACAATCTATTCGCTAAAATGTATCTGGCCCAGCTCATTTAATATTTTACTTTGATACTAATATAGAAATGTACATTATTTTATACCTACCACTGTTTAATATGTTGCTGTTTTCTTCAAATCGTATTGTTCAACCGTAAAGTTCATCTGCATAATGTCGATTAATATTGAAGCCATTATAAATCGGAACAAATACAACTTAATGAACTTGATAACAGTGCACTTGATGAGCTACTTAAGCACATTCTTTCTTCACTGTCGTTAAATTTGAAGTAAGTCCCACGTTTATAAGCTCAGCTACTAACAATCAAAATAGTCAACTCGTGTAGGACAACACCGAAGCCCTGGCTTTACACGACACAATAGACTGTCTAAACGAGATGTGACAGAAGGTCTGACTCCGTATTATGATTGACAATCATTCTCGAAACTGCTTGTCTTAATACTATTAACCATAAATCTCTGGCTTACCGTCACCTTCGTAAACCAGGAAAATAACTCCAAATTGCCCATAATTTAGTGTTATCTAAAAAGCAATAAAATTATACTGACCTTTTCAGTAATCATTCTATAAATATACCGCATAGTATTGTGTCAATCCTTTTTCATCAATAAAAAAATATAATGTATTTACCATTTACTTAGTACACATAGCCCATCAACGCTGTCTTCGGATTTTACGTAACGTATCTAACCAACAAAGAGCCTTCTATTTCATTGATAAGATTCACGCAGTGTTACTGACACTTCTACTGAGTAGGATGGCACACATTTCAGTTTTATAGACTTATTTATATGTATGTTATATTAATGAAAACTCTTACCTGTGGGTCACATTTGAAGATAGACTGAGCTGTAGCAACACCTGGCGCTCTTTGAAACAACGATTACTGGCTTAATATAAAATAATAAAAGTTCTTAAAAATCGTGAAGCCACAGAAAAAGATACATATTGTGATGTTGACGGACTTTTCTATGGGCGCTGTATTTGAGGGAATCCTTATTATGTTAGATGAAGAGTAAAATTTATATAATTATAGATTTTGGCAAATAAAGCTAGATTAATATCTAGTGGGAGCAAAATCACGATATGTAATTCCCTTTGGCGGGGACATTGGTAATACTATAGATATTGAGCTTTTGGGGTCGAAAAAAAAGCGGACAGCCCTTCTCTGACGAAATCGTCCTTCACTGGTGTCCAGATTGTATTTGTTTTAATTAGTCACCCAATTGATTAAACACAACATTCATTTTAAAACTGGTGTTATTTAATATCAGTTAGTTTGAATTAATGGCAACTGATATGTCAGAGCTAAATCTGTTTATTGCAGATCTTTCTTTGGGACTTAATTGTTACATAAATTATTATTTAGACATTTACTAACATGACAAGACCATAATCGAATCTCGATGCCATCGGGTGGCCCCGATATTAAGTAGATTAGAATGGTTAGGTCATTTAATGATTTAATTTAAAAATGGAGAAGCGAGGCTAAGACTCGAATGACCAGTACGGTGATTAAGATCAATGAACAAATCTTGTAAAAACTACAACTATTGATAGCTTACTTTGAATGAAATTTTCAATGTGTTCATTTTGCATTATCTTTTTAAATATTATAGCGAGAACGTCCAGCCCTTCATCCATATCTTATATAATTCCCCTTTAAGAATTTAGCGTGTTTATCTCACTTGTCAAGAGCGGCGCCCGCGAAGCGAATCTACACAGTTCGTCTAGTTCTTCGATTTATACGAAAAAAAACGGATCCATATTGGTAGTGCTCGTAAAAGTTGGAATTCCCAACGGTCAAACGAAATCTAAGGATTTTAGTCTCAATAATTGGGACCTGAATCAAATGTCGTCGAGACGTTCAAACCGTTTCCATTGGTAAACTTGGATGATGTGTGAGCACTATTGCATTATTGCCCAGTCTACAGACCCGGTTTTTTTTTTCAAACTCGGTTAGGATAGCAGTCATCAAAATGTTAGGATGTTAGTCTCAATAATTGGGACCTGAATCAAATGTCGTTCAACCCTTTTCCATTGGTAAACTTGGATAATGTGTGAGCATTATTGCATTATTGCCCAGTCTACAGACCCGTTTTTTTTTCAAACTCGGTTAGGATCGCAGTCATCAAAATGTTATCGTTTCGTATCCTGTTCAGTGATGGCCGAAATAGATAATCGGCAAAATACGCCCTTCCTTCAAGAACTGTTCCGACCTGTCCATTCCACCGCAGTACACATTCTAGCATAAACCAATAATTCATTAAAAAAAATATATTAGGCATGGCAAGTTAATCTCAAACCAGTGCAGTTGGGCTCAATCATATATAATTAGACAACATCATACTCGGATTCGATCGAATTTGGGCAAGGCGAAATGACATAATAAACATAATTCTATATGGCGGTTTCTAGGAAGTTTCTGAGAGCGATATCTCGTAACCAGTGCGATTCAGTGGTGGGACAATGAATAGATTTTATCTAAAATCTTACAATACAAAGTGGTTATAAAGGCGAAATGTTCCGAAAATTACAAATTTGAGTAAACAAATTTAAAAATGTATTTTTCACATGGACCAGGCCATTTTTTTAAATGGCTGCCAAATTTGGTAATAAAATGACATTGTACTTGTATATAATCAGTCATTATATATCTCGTAAGATATGACTTTTACTGTGTCTTTTGCGTGGTTTTCGATGTCTCTGAATTTATAAATGAATTTCGAATCTCCAACATGGCAGGAATTCAAAATGGAAGTCAAAATGAAATCTAAAATGGCGGATTTTAAATTAATTATCAATTTTTTTCCTGTTAAATATGACTTGTAACTTGTCCTTTCACATGGTTTTCGATGTCGATTAGTGGAAATCCAGTCTCAAAAATATAAATTTAATTTTGAAATCCAAAATGGCAGCGAAAATCATCATTTTGGATATGGCTTGTATCATGTCTTATATGAGGTTTTTGAGGTTACTGAGTTCAATTCCGACTCTAAAAACTAACTTCTACCTAAAAAATACCTAAGCAAAACCGAAAATGGAGATTTTTTCCCCGTGGATATTGCTTTTAAAATGTATCTAATAAGGTTTTCATGGTTACCGAATTCCATTTTGGGTTCAAAAATAATTAAAGAAATCTAAACATATGTTTAGCGTTTGTTTTTGGGTGCAATTTGTGTTTCTTCATTTGGTATGTCTTTGCACATCTTCACCGGGGTTAAAATTGGTTTCGATATATCCATTTGTTAACAATTTGCGCCCTAATATTAGTTCAGAAATGATTATGCGATCCGTGCTTACAACCCTTATGAGTTATGGTATCAATTCTAGGGATAGACTGAAAAGGACCATGGTAGTTTCAGCGATCCCAAAACTAGTTAATGTTCTTGTGTGTATCAATAATAAGAAGTTTATGAAAATACACATTGAAATAACATTTAAATATGGTCTACCACTTGCAGCACTTCCCCTCGGACTAACAATAAATTGTTTATTGGAATTTTCGATTAAGCGGAAGCTTTCCTTTAACTGTAAAATACTCGACCAAAATACCAATTTTTAATTTATATGATAATTTAAGGTCTACCAAGTAATACGGAAATGTGTAATACGTTTTAACATCGTATCTTTCTGCCCGAGCTAACAAACATTTGTTTACAATTGGTTGAAATGTAGCTGTAAAATAATTTACCAATTATCAGTTTATATAGCGTATTTTTACTGATAATTAAACAAGTAATGCGGAAATTTACAACAGGTTTTAACATCCTGTCTTTCACCTCCCTTTTCAGGGAAGGACTGAAAATGAGTATGGTAGTTTCAGGGGTCCCTACGCTAGTTAATGTTCTTACGTAGTTTGGGGTCACCGTTTAGTCATGAATTTACGTCGTTTGTGATCATCTTTTAAGCCTCAATACAGTGGATACCGCTCACGGAGCAGTGCCGGATTAACCTTGTGGAGGCCCGGGACATACCAAGTGTGCGCGGGTCCCATTGTTGTTTGTTTAAATTGTTCGTACTGACCGCGGATCATACTAGTATGTACTCCGCCCCCTTGAGTGCCTGGGGTGTTTTCCTCCAGGATTTTTTTTTAAAATTAGGATTAATTTCAGTGAATCTGGGACGATTTAGGCAGCGATTTCATTGACGTTTAGAATTCGTTGACAATTTGAGTATTTTAAACAGACTCTTTCTCTTATGATGTTTTCATTTACTTTATTTTAGTGAAATTATTTTAGGTGACATAAAACAATAAACTCCGATCAGCAAAGAATGTCAGTAAAGTGTTGTAAAAGCAAACTTATAACAAGAACAGTTAACACACCAGAGCACAAGGCCTCCTAAATTCGCAAAGGAAGCCTCTGTGAACATTAATTACTAAGACTTCCTTCGCGACTTGAGGAGAGCGAAGGTGGAGATGATGCTGTCATTATCGAGATCCCTAATCACGTCATTTAGACAGGAAACATCTTCAGATTATACATTTGTCTGAAGTATTAGTATAACCCAGAATGGGGGGGGGGGGCTAAATGTGTGGGGGGCGGGCGGGACATTTGTCCCACTTTGCCCCCCCCCCCTTAGATCCGGTACTGTCACGGAGTAAGGATTCGTTTAAAGAAAAGAAGCCACATGTCCGATTTCCTCTTCAGACAGTAATCGATTCAAATTCTTCATCATCATTATAGCTACTGGTGTCTTCTTAGGTTTCTTCTTGTACTTTGTCTAGTCACCTAGTGTCCATTGCTGATGAAAAGCAGTATTACTGTGACAATCGCGAGAACTTGTCGGGAAATGAATAAAAAAAATGAACCTGCGGCGTTCCCACTCTATGGGGGTCCGGTGGGGTTCTCTTCTCCCCGGTGCGAAATTTCTTTCGAAAACCTGACTGTTAATAATGTTTTTTTTCTATAGTATGTTCTGATATTTCTAGCTTATGCACAAATTTGGTGTGTGACAATCTTATCTGAAATTAATTTTGAGCCTAAATATTGATTTGAGTAAAACTGAATACCTTATTTTAAAAGCAATATGCACAAGAACAGAAATGGCTATTTTAGATGCTATTTTGATTGTCGTTTTAAAGTTACACCATCTGGACTATTCATTATTAGCTTATTTTAGGTAGAAATTGGACTCTTAAACCTTAAAACCTTTAAATAAGACATATTACAAGCCATATCTAACGGAAAATGATGATTAATTAAGATTCCGCCATTTTGGATTTCATTCATCATGGATTCTCGAACTTCATTTTTGACTTCAGAATTGAACCCACCGTCATCGAAAACATGTAAATGACATGTTACAAGGCATAGCCAACACGAAAAAATGACGATTAACTTAAAATCAGCCATTTTGGATTCATTTCGGTTGCCATTTTGGCTGCCATTTTGAATTACTGCCATGACGGATTTTCGAAACTTATATTTAAATTCAGAGATACCATAAACCATATAAAAGACATAGTAAAAATCATATCTTACGAGCCACTTTGAAAGAAATGGCCGGCACCATGTGAAAAATACATTTTTTGAATATTTTGTTTTGTCAAATTCCGTAATCGGCAAAATTCGTCTCTATAACCACTTTGTGTTTCAAGAATTTAGAAAAACATTTTTATTCTCCCACCACTAAAACACACTGGTTACGTCATTTCGCCTTGGCCGAATTTCGGCCGAATTTGAGCATGATGTTGTTATGTATCATTTAACCAAACTGCATTGATTTCTTTTGCAATTTGTTTAGGGTAAAACGTTATCCCTCCCCGCCTATTATATGGGTTTTCTTCTGAGCATTTGAACACTACGGAGTGGACTTTCAATTTTATTGATATAGATTGAATTTATATTACAGGTATACTTACAATGAGGCCAATATAGTACCGAGAACGAAATGCCATTTTCGCTCCTGACCGGATCGAAGCCACCAATTTCCATTCAGATCAAAACGCATTTGGATTCGGACATGGGCGTTTTTTATTCGGCTTGGGGCGAATAGGTTATTTCGAACCCTTAAGGCGATAAGTTGGAGTCCCGCTATCTACATGTTGTAATGCTAAAATATACAACAAATAATTGTTGACAAAAAAAGGTTCAATATGAATAATCATCATCTAACAAACAAGAAAGGGAAAAACATGAAAACAGACAAAACATGTTTTGGTAAAGTAAATATTCGTATTCGGCATATTGGTTGATTTAGAGCCCTTCACTATCTACATGTTGTAATGCTAAACTATACAACAAAATAGTGTTGTCAAAAAAAGGTTCAATATGAATAATCATCATCTAACAAACAAAAAAGGGAAAAACAAACAAACAGACAAAACATGTTTTGGTAAATGTTCGTAAGCTGGCATTTTGGTTGATTTAGAGCCCTTCACTAGATCTACCCCTGTGTGCAAGGCTTCAAAATAAATCAACAGAGTCGCATTTTTATTACACTTAATACAATTCTTGATTTACGAGAATGGCGACGTACATAGCCATTTATTATTAATAATTATTATACCGTCCTGTCGGATTAGGTCCATGTTCGTTCCGCCTCCAACCATTCATCGTAAACACAGATTCTTTGAAGACCGGATGGCGTCGAAGTAGGACAGCATCGAGAGTGCAAAATTAAAATGTCTGATTAAGCTATCCTAATTGGACACAGATCACTAAAGATTTCCCCATTGACTCCAATGTTAATTCTCGTATCTTAGACCGGCTCTAACTTTTTCCCAAATTTTCGTTGGGTAGAACACTTTCTACCACAGATGGAGCAACATGTGGCAACCACTTGCCCAAAAGCACGTATGAGGTTCTTCATGAAAAACTTGAGATACACAAGCTGGAAGTAGAGACAAGTAAACATGCAATTTCAGGCCCTACATTTCAACGTAACCAACCTCTCAACTCTTGTATCCTTCCGCATCAAAATTATGAATATTCACCAAAACCTGGCAGAAAATGTATTTTCAAACCCTTTTCCTCAATTCTACACCAAAAAGTCAACAAAAATCGCCATGAAAAAGGGAGAGGAAGACTAAAAATAGCTTTGGCCCTTGTTTCGTCGTAGGAATATTTGGTGATCTGTGTCCAATTCTATCTCGGTGATAATTTACACTTGTACGTCCAGTAATTATGAATAATTTAGACACGAAGACAAACCATGTTTCAAGCCGAGAAATAGCCTACATTCCTAATGACCTTAAATGTTGAAGGGACACTGCACCCTAAAATATCATGTCGATTAACCCATTTTTACAAAAATATAGTTCAAAGGCCCAGTTAAATAGGAATCACATTTCTATCAGATGTTTAAAGGTCGTCTACAGTTCAGTATAATTTGTTTTCCAGTATATCAACAATCAAAGACATCGATGTGCATGACGTGGGTCATATTAATATGGCGGCAAAGGGCTGATGGTTCAATTAGTAAGATTCACAAAAGTGAAGTATGCAATGGAATAGGTTAAAATAGAACATAATATCGGATAGATCCGATGGTGGTTACACATTGCATATGCTATCGATTATTTTATCTAAATCTAAAAGTCACTTTAACATAAGAATGCTCGTTCTGGATTGGATATATATCATATAACGCTTAACTATCGATGTTTTATTGCACTCAGTGTACCGTCAACGAGATTCGTGAGATGAAATTTAGATTTTGATTGATTGTTAGTAAATAAATACCCATAACCATTCAGACAAGGCCATATTGTTTTACAGAATGAGTGTTAGAAAGTGGGCGCCATAGAAGAAATCACCAGTGAATATATACCCCTTAAATAACATTTCGTTTTATATTACCTGTTCAGTTCGTAAATAGCTCTAACCGCGTTTTGTTTGTATAACAACTAACCAAAACAGGCTTTAATAGAAGGAAACTTTTAAAAACTAGTGAGTTGAAAGTTATTTCATGAAATCGAATCCGTGAATAACGAAAAAAGGATGGCACCGATTTTGGGATACCTGCTATGAACACTATGAAATGGGGTTTAACTGTTCTGCTCTAATGAAGACGGGCATACGCCATCAGTCTGCTAAGAGAGAAATTGTGCCCAAACAGCGGTACTTTGACATACTATTATTTAGAATTCCAACTGCCAAGGGTTCTTTTACATGCACTCAAATCAAATAATTTGATTAAAACACAGATTCTATTTCAAAATTTTGTTTTACTTGTCGTTACTACACTAGGATCTGGAAGAATTGTTATATAGCCCACGTTCTGGATGATGTGAGGGGTAAGCCAATGAAACGGTTTTTGGTGTGAGGTGCACGGAACTGTGGGTAAGCCACTAGAAACAGCAACCCAATAGAAACATCAACACTGGTTGGTCAATCAAATGTCTGACGTCATAGGGTCAAAAGAAAGGCTTATGACAATGGCAAGCATATTATATACTAAACAGCAAAAAAACCCCCAAAAACCAACGTCCATACGATTTCAAAATCAGAGAGGCACTTTAATCAAATCATTCTAGAAAACGACTTACTAAATGGATCACAGCAATTTTTTGTGAACAGTATGTTGAAACATTAGTGATTAATTCATCACAATTCCAAGACATTACGAGAAGGTTTAGAGTCTGTACACAGTCTATACATCCACCCGATTAGATTTTATTAATACTTCGAGAAGGTATTTGTTGAGTAATAAAACCTTCTAGTAGTTTATCGAGGGCTGACCGTCCTTACCGCACGGTACAAATATTATCACCACTAGAAGCAACAAATTCCATTTATACAAATGAGTATTTAGGGGAATACTAACCCGAACCCTAACCCTAACCCTTTTAAGAGAAGTAAAAACTAAATTAGACCCAAGTTCAGTCTTTTAAAAAGGGTTAGGGTTAGGGTTCGGGTTAGTTATCCCCAAAATTCTCATTTATATAAAGCGGCCATTTTGGACTTCGGAAGCACCCGAACCTCGATAAACTACTAAAAGGTTTTATTTGTACCGTGCGGTAAGGACGGTCAGCCCTCGATAAACTACTAGAAGGTTTTATTACTCAACAAATACCTTCTCGAAGTATGTAATAAAATCTAATCGGGTGATACATCAGTATCTGGTGTGTCCACCGCGAATGCCAATAACAGCAGCGCAGCGTCTGTACATGGAGTGGACAAGATGATTGATGAACGCCTTTGGCACCTGGAACCACACTCTTAGAAAAGCCTGTGTTTGGACTCGGTACGACGTTATTAAGTCTCCTCTGAATTTCATCCCAAAGATGTTCAATTGGGTTTAAGTCCGGACTAAGGACTGGCCAGTGCATAACGTTAACACCGTTCTGCTGTAGAAATTCCTGAGTAACTCTGGCGGCGTGTGCGCGGGCGTTGTCATGCTGGAAAACGTTTTTTCGATGACGTGCGAAATGTGGTATGACGTGGGGTCTGAGAGCTTGATCAATGTACTGTTGTGTACTGCTGTGATGACACCTCCTCTCCCTGGACCAAGATTTTGGAACACCACAGGACCCACTCTCTGGTTCAGGCCGATTCCTCCCCAAACCATTATGCTTGGACCTCCCCATGAGTCTAGTTCCATGACACATTGGTCAGAATAACGCTGGCCACGTCGACGTACTGTATCGGTACTGATGGGTCTTCCGTGTGTTCTCACTGTCTGGCGTGCTGTCCCAGATGCCTGTGTGAAGGGATTCTGCACGTGCTGTTCGCATAACATGGCGGTCTTCTCGCCTTGTGATCATCCGTGGTGTTAGTGGCCCGAAAGCGTTGCTGAAGCCTGTAGATGGTCCGAGCATTGACCTGGAAATGATTGGCAACGGCTTGGATAGTGTGGCCAGCGTCGAGTCTTCCAAGCGCCTGGTTCCTCTGAGCTGTCGTGAGTCGTGGTATGCTGCTGACGTTGTAGTGTGAATGATTCAACCAGGTATGGGGGTGCATTTTATAGGGCTGGTACCGGTAAACGGCATCATGAGTTACATGAAAATCATGGAGAACACATTACCATCTCAGAAGTCAGGTTGCGTTTTTGAGAACGTTTCCTGGGTTCAATTCTGTGTTTGGTAAGGAGCCTTATTGCTCAGGTAAAGTTGGAGATGTGGTCACAAATATACAATAAAAACATTTGGCAAGTTTTATGCAATGCGTCTATTCAGAGTAACATACCAACCTGGCGTTTCTTTTGCTGCTTAGTATATATAGTTGAATCCGTCACTGCGGTGCTCGCGGTTGGAGTCGCGTTAGTGCCCTTTATATGAGTTAAGACGTGTCAAAACTAAGGGTCGTTTTTACACTAAAATTTGGATACGGGGGCAGGTTTTTTTTTTAAAGCTATACGAATGACTACGCAGAATCTCAGCTCCACAGGTTCAATCCCAGACAAGCAACAACCAGGGTTAATTTTTTATTTATAAATCATAAGTCCAATTTACAAAAAAATGGCATTAGATCTTTAAGCAATATCTCGTATCTTTGTCGTTAATATTTAAAAGATATTTTGTCATCTGTCTTTATGACTGTACAATATATCATACCTAGTTTAAACCTGTCAACAAAACAATTATTATTATGGTAATTTTTGCTAACGCGTAGAATTTTATACTCGTAAAAACATATTAAAACCCTGATAAAATCTGTTTAAATATTATAACAATGTAAATACCAGTATTTGTGTTCAAAACAAGAATCTATTATCGGGGGTATATTGGACAGGTCCCGTTACACTGCAAGTTATCATTCAGAAATACCTTAAATTGCCTTTTTGAGTTTGCACCCCCACACCTAAAACATTTAAGCAACGAAATATTGACATAATTACTAGAAATTTGTCTAGGACATAATATATACATAACTTTTTCCCGATGAAGCATGGGACAATGTCCCCAAAAACCTTCAACTCGCTCAGTTTGGCGTTCAATTACTCCTTGGCGCTTGGTATTGACAATGTTTATGAGCCACGCAAAACTGGATAATATAGTCGGAGATTTAAAAAAATGGCCTGTCACATATTTTGAAACGGTTGAAAATGCAGTCTTCCGAGTTCCGCTGGAAGTGCTGGGAGTTTTGAGTAATTGACATAAATCCAAGATG